TATTCTCTGTGAGAACTAAATAGTTTTCTATTTAAATATGCTATATCATCTTAGCATAGTATAGTGTCTTGAGTTGTTTCACACTTATATTTTAATATCTTGTGTATCTATTGTGTATTATTATAATGTACTTTCACTATGACATTTATATCGTTCTTAGTTAACTTAATTGAGAGAATTTTATAATGACTGAGTTGATATTGATACTCTGATGAAACTGTGTGTTACTTACCATACGAGGTCTGTTCAAAAAGTATCGCGAATTTTGAATTTCCGCGGGCTACGTATATTCGATTTTCGATTTTTTGTGGCGTTATGTTGGTACTCATGTCCCTCACTCATGCTGACAAGTTCGGCCATTTTGAATGTTCAGTTAATTTTTGACAGCTATTTTGCTTGGACGTGTTTTGGCTCGTCTTCGATTTTTGCCTATTCCAAGAAATGGATCAAAGAATATGTATCAAATTTTGTGTGAAAAACAAAATTAAGTGCGCGGACGCATTCCGAATGTTGACTGTGGCATATGGTGAAGCTACCTTGAGCCAAAGCAACGTTTATCGGTGGTACAATATGTTCTCAGAGGGTCAAGAAGATGTGAACGACGAAGAGCGTGCCGGACGCCCGAGCACGTCAATAACAGACGAAAACATTGATGAAGTGAAGAAAATAGTATTGGCCAATCGTCGAATCACCGTTAGAGAAGTTGCTGAGGACCTAAACATATCGATTGGCTCGTGCCATTCGATTTTTACCAATGATTTGGGCATGAGACGGGTCGCCGCGAAATTCGTACCAAAATTGCTCACTTTCGACCAAAAACAGCATCGCATTAACATTGCTACGGAGCTGTTGAACTCTGTCCGCGACGACCCAAATTTGCTCCAGAGGGTCATAACTGGTGACGAATCATGGGTTTATGGTTATGACGTGGAAACCAAAGCTCAATCATCCCAATGGAAGCTGCCGCACGAGCCAAGACCGAAAAAAGCGCGCCAAGTTCGGTCGAATGTGAAGGTTTTGCTTACAGTTTTCTTCGATTGCAGGGGCGTGGTGCATCATGAGTTCTTGCCACAGGGTAGAACGGTCAATAAGGTCAATAAGGTCAATAAGGAACGATCAATATTACCTGAAAGTTATGCGCAATTTGCGCGAAGCAATCCGCCAGAAACGCCCGGATTTGTGGAAGAACAAAAATTGCACCATGATAACGCCCCTACTCACACATCGTTGCTTGTGCGCGAAGTTTTGGCCAAAAACAACACACTAATGATGCCGCAGCCACCGAATTCCCCAGACCTGGCCCCCTGTGACTTTTTCTTGTTCCCGAAACTGAAGAGGCCCATGAAAAGACGACGCTACGCCACGATTGAGGAGATAAAGACGGCTTCGAAGGAGGAGCTGAACAAGGTCACAAAAAGGATTTTTTGAAGTGCTTCGAAGATTGGAAAAAACGTTGGCACAAGTGTATAATATCTGATGGGGATTACTTTGAAGGGGACAACATAGATATTCATGAATAAATAAATAATTTTTGAAAAAACACAAAATTCGCGATACTTTTTGAACAGACCTCGTATATATCGTTGTTGCCTCTTCCTACTGATTATTCAGAGTTTCGATGGTTTACCTGTAAACTTATACTTACCTTCTATTGGACGCGATGAGACTTGATCTGGATATTGTATTGTATCGTACTGTGTGTTATTCTTATGCACAGTATGTCTCTATTGGATCCTATTTTGATTCAATGAATTATTCAATGAATTATTTAATGAATAAATGAAGGAGTCACTCACCTGTAGTAATAATACTCTAGCTGTTCAATATTTAATATTACCTGTCTGGGTCTACTTGATGTAATACTCATTATCAAGTAAGAGTTTCTCGCTTTTTAATGATACTCTTATCTACAGTCTGTCAAGTTAATTCGTGGTCGGCCTTACTCAGAGCTCGTAAAAGGTATCGCCTTAATTCTTTTGTTAGCCGATAGAGGGATACTGTGTCCTTGATACACTGTCAACAAAGATTCAATTGTCGTTGATTTGTTTACAGAGAAACACGTTAAAGTCGTGAATGTCAAATACGCGTCGCGCTACGAGGCTGTGTTCCTTTGTACCCATCCGAAAGGTCCGAAAATGTCGCAATCAGCGGCTGCTAAATACTTGAGAAAGTCGAAAACATTCGTACAGAAGTGGATACAGCGATATAAAGTGGTGAAAAATGTCAATGATTTCCCGGGACGTGGCTCGATAGGCAAATTGAACGAAAAAGACGAAAAAAGAATAGTGAATCTGTTTTCGCGGAATCCTGCTTTAACGCTGCGTCAAGGACAAGCAAAATTAAAGTCAAAAGGTTTAGATATATCGTACGAAACTATCCGAACCCATCTCCATGCTCATGACATGAAATGGCGCAACACAATGAAGAAACCTCTATTGACCGAAAGACATGTGATGAAGCGACTCGCTTGGGCGCACGAAAACATCGATCGAGATTTTAGCAATGTAATTTTTACCGATGAATGTTCTGTATGGGCACGTTGTATCCTCACGCGAGCCTGGTCGACCTCCACCAATAGGCTTGTCCAGCGAACTGTAAAACATAGAGTAAAGGTGCATCTTTGGGGCTGCTTCTCAAAGCAGGGGTTTGGCACTGTGCATCTGTTTACCAACAACCTGAATGCCAAAAACATTCTGAAAATCTACAAAAAGGCTTTGCTACCGTCTGCCAAACGTTGGTTTGACGATAAAAATGAGGATTAGATTCTGCAGGAGGACAACGATCCTAAACACCGCAGCAAGCTCTGCCCAGTGAGAAATGATTCGTCGATCGACATCGAAATGATGTCGAATCGATGTCAATTCGACGGTGTCGATGTCGTTTCGACGTCGATCGACGAATCATTTCTCACTGGGTGTACCGAGTGGAAGAAGCAATCTGATATCATTACATTGGATTGGCCGTCGCAGTCGCCCGATACAAATCCTATTGAAAATGTGTGGGCATACATTAAGCAGAAGTTTCGTGGAAAACGCACGCACACTTTGAAGCAGTTATCTAGCGAGATTCGTCGGATATGGAGGTCCTTGCCGCTGGAATATGCCGTCAATTTGGTCGAAAGCATGCCTCGGAGATGCCAGGCAATTATCGACGCTGGTGGTGACTGGACGCATTATTAACATAATTGCATCCTTGTTCTCATCGAGTACAATGCATGCATGTATTTAAAAATTGTATTTAATAAATTTTTTTATAAATTAACCCGACCACGCTCTTACTTGACCCACACGGAACAAAACCTCCAATGGACGTTCATAAAATATCCATAACTCCACCAAACGTCCACCTCCATGGTGGAAATTAAATAGATGTCTTATGGACGTTCATTTTATATCTACGATGGATGTCCATAAAATATCCATCAGAAACATCCATTAGAGCTTTCATCATGTCCCAAATAGCACCGTACATCTTATGGACGTCCGTTTTACGTTCATTTTACTACCATACGTCCATGGACATAATAAGATCGTCCATTGTACATCCATACAAAGATATACATTGGATGTGCATAAATGGACGTCCAGTGGACATTTATTTAAGATTTCCTTTATATAACTAATTTATGGATATATACTTCCGAGTAGAAATTAAATCATGTATGCCTTGTGTATGACGTCAGAGTCCGATAGGGAGGAAGTAAGGAATACCCTAATAAGGAATCCCTGACATGTGCCTGCTCCGGTACGCCTGATTCCCTCATATAATTTGATAAACGTTAACCTGAATATATAGCACTAGTACCACTCAATGCCGCGGCGTGGCGACCGCGCGTTAGTCTTTCTCGTAAGTAAAAATCATTCCGTATTAGTATAAGAGGCGAGCCGACATGATGCAACAGCGAGTTGTCTGGATCATGAATAATCTTCAATAACCTGAATATACTTTTGATGACTTCCAGAAAGTAGACGTTCAATGGACATCCACTGAATGTGCTATCTGGGTGCGTGGCCTAAAGATGCTCCAAGAAAATTCTATGAAATGTCTATAGAACCTCTGAAAAACATCCATTAGAGCTCCATTATATATTGACTAAGCAAATCAACTATCGACGAGCGTAGATCAGATGTGCGTTACGCGCAGAGGACTTGGACGGCAGCAGCGGGGGACGAGCGGAGAGCGTACGGCGAAATTACCGTGCAAAGTGCTGTGCCGCGTCCCCGGGGAGAAGCGGCACGGTCGCGTCCAAGCTGCGCTCTCCATTTAAATATTCGAGGCTTAACGAAGAAACAGTATTTTACATGTGAACGCCGTCTTAGTATTCCCGATAACGTGACAATTCGCAAGACACACTCTCGAACCCGCTGGGGAAGCTCCGCAATCTAATTAATACTTTCTTATGAGCTGAGCGAGTGATACTAATTTTATGATATGTAAATACCCTGGTGAAAATAGAATTTGGAGCGTAAATCGAATGTAAGGGAAGACTGACAGAAGCGCAAAAGAAATGTGTGGGAAGCGTAATTTGGAACAGTAAAGAGTAAAAGAAGCGTTGAAGTTTCTTTTACGCTTCGCTGTTCCAAATTACGCTTCCCACACTTTTCGTTTACACTTCTGTCACTCTCTCCTTACATTCGATTTACCCTCCAATTTTTATTTTCACCAGGGTATACTTTGTTCACTTTAATACAAAATTTCTTATAATATAAGAATGAGTGTTGTTAGTTCTACCTAAAAAACTTACCTTTTTAAAAAAAGGTAAAAAAGCACCAAGTCTAAGCTCCAATTCAACCGAATTTATTTTGTTACTCTATCTTTTTTGCAAAAGTATAATCTCTCCAAAAATATCTTTACTGCAAAAGTATCTTCTTTACAAAAATAGTGTCTCCACAAAAATCTTCTGTACAAAAATATCGTCTCTACAAAACTATCTTCTCTACAAAAGTAATGATATCAACAAATTGCGCCAAATAAAACAACGGATATTTATACAAACTAGTTGCTTTAGCATTAGTTTTTTATTAAAAAATGTTATATTTCTTAAAAAATAAAA